TTTTTTTTTTGGGACAGACAGGCGACACACAGGACGGACTGACTGAGGTACAGATGGAGAGAGACACGGAGAAGAAAGACCAGTCAGGATAGCCCACCGGTTACTGTTGTAGGAGGGAATGTGGCCGCCACTCACAGCCACACTTTTGCTGTTGCTGGCTAACATTGTTTGCAGGGAGAGGGGAGAGAAGTCCGATTAATGAGCAGACAGAGCAAGGCTAAGGAAAACACAGCACTATTACTGCAGAGCTAAAAGACAGCGGGAAGCAGAGCGGGATCCGCACGTGGAAAAGCCTTTATTGTATTATTGTACTTCTTGACGCTGTGGATCGGGTACTAGTTCCCCCCCCGTGACCATTTCAAGTACCTGGTGCTGGTAGATCCAGCTTCGCCTTCCTGAGCTCGGTCATGGACGCCTGCAGTTGATCGACCACAAAGTCATCTTCAAAGTAGAAATTTTTGGCCAGAGACACCTGCAGAAACTCCACCAGCTCCTCCATGGACAACTTCAAGAGGTGTTCTGGGAGTCACACACAGACACAGTTGAGAAAAATAATCTCTTTTAAGGGGCGAACCCGCTTACAAACACTGCCAGGAGGAAACTATCTTACTTTTGTGCAGTTTGAGGATAGTGTAGGACATGGAAGGCAGCACTCGTTCACCCTCTAAAATATAGATATCCCAGATCCTGAGGGTGAGTGTGAAGGGAGTCTGAACACAAATAGAACAAAAGGTCAGAATCTTTTTTTCCTTTTTACATTTTTTATATTGTTTACACTCCAGGCTACTAGTAGCCATAAAAATTCCAGGGCTGGCTGTAAATCTTGATATATTATTTTTCACTATCAGCCATTTCTTTAAAAAGTCCAACAGTTCAATGCTTCCAGCTAAACTTTCTGTAGCTTTTAATAAAAAAGAAAAAAAAAACACAAAGAAACAAACAGTTTATTGGGAACAATTCAAGTAATGAAAGTTGTTTTTGTGTTTTTTACGAGGGATATAAAAGTAGTGGTTATGGCCTTTTTTCTAGTGAATGGGCCCCATCAAAATGCCATTATTGCTCTTTCATCAAACATTTGATTTCACCCAGTAGGACTTCGCACAACCCACTCAGTTTATATCAGATTTGACACTGTTCCCCAAGGAAGAGGATGCCAAAACTAATTGTCTGACTGAATCTATCTATCTATCTATCTATCTATCTATCTATCTATCTATCTATCTATCTATCTATCTATCTATCTATCTATCTATCTATCTATCTATCTATCTATCTATCTATCTATCTATCTATCTATCTATCTATCTATCAAGAAGCAATTGGCTAGAAAATATTTCAAAAGAGAGCACTGGGCCTTTTATGGTGTAAATGTATGAAGAATTACTGCGCTCAGGAATTCTCCATGGGCACGTAAATCACAGCAGGAAGGTCTGCTGGCTGTGGGCCACGATACATTATGAGTTTTTAGTGGACTATATTATAGCTGAGAAGTTACTGCTGACATTTGGGACAGCACAACTGAGTGACTGCCCGGAGATTAGCCCCACTGACCGCCATTCTGGAGGTTCGAGACCACGCAGCACGTCCGCCAACCTTTGATCAAACGCAGTTTTCATTTTAGGAAATTAGGGGATTATTCCAATAACCCTAACCGTCTCTACTGGTAAGCGTAATAACCACGGCAGATGTGAGGTATGCTAGCTTTAGCTGGGAATTGATAGTAGTATAACACATACTAATCTAATGTTAAAAAGAGGGTACATTTTAGATGCAAAGGAGGCTTAATATTGTCTTTAGTTTGACAAAACAGGCTATTTATTGCCTTTTTATGGCTGTGCGGCTCGGTAAGGCTGCTTTACTTTTTATGTAACAGCGGCACAATATATGAGAGAAAAATAAAAATGCTTTTTTGAAAAGGGCAGATGGCCGTCACTCGCTTTATTCTTTGCGTGGGAGGGATTGTTATTAATGGGAAAATGGTTAAATGACTCACTTTTCACTTTAAATGTACATCTCCCCCAGAACCTGCCACCCCATTAACGAACTACATTATAGAAGATTATTATGCACTTTGTTAATTATAGCCTTGCCTATTTATTTTTAAAAATAGAGATTTATTTTTCTGGAAATGCCAATCGTTAATAGATATTTTCATTGCACATCATTCAAAGGAATGCTTCCCACATTTCCTCTACTCGCTGTTGATGACTCACTCTGTCCAGGAAGCACTGGAAGAACCACTTCATGGTGTAGAGACTGGTAAACACTTCTTGGTTGTCCTGGAGCAGCACAAACAGGAAAAAGGGTTCAGTGCAGTGAGCGCAGGTCTATGTCGGCACTTTGCATTAACATCAACACAAAATCTGCAGCCAAATCTGTTCACAGTTAAGATCTTCTCCATTAGTGTCATTGTTTTATCTGATTAGAGATCTAAATGATCTATTTAACTTTTAAAATGTGAATGAATAAGCTGGAAGTGTTGGGTTTTATGTCAGGGTGTGTAAATAAGTGCTGTAATGGGTGACGCTATCAAAGTTAGCTCATTTCCACCACAGTGTTGTGTGTCTCACCAGGTGTTGTTTCAGCTTGGGGATCATCTTCTTGAGGATGCGGTCATGGTGCTCCTGGAAACGCATCAGCTTTGGGAAACCAGGGACAAAAAACCCTGTGCATGCAGATAAAGTAGGTCAAAAGTTGTTTTAATGGGGCTCCCAGAGACTTAGGAGCTAATTTGTCTCGTTTTTTGTTGTTGTTGTTGTTGTTGTTTTTTATTATTATCCCTTCCCCCAATCAAATTCGACTAAGTTGTATAGCCTCGCTCATGGCAATGGAATCTTTTTTTTATCACAGCTGGACGCATATTCAAAAGCGTCCCTGACATATTTTTGCCTTGTTAGGCTAACAAACATCTTTCAGTGTATTCAGATCTGTTTGCTGTTTTACTGTCTGCTGGACTTTTCTAACTTCTTCAAACTTCTTGTCCAAAACAAAATATCTGAACTAACAAAAATGACACCCTACAACATTGAACATTAGATTTTTCTATTAAAAATATCAAATAAATCTTCCTATTTACCCATACAGAGGAATTAATTGAGTAATACAGTATATCATTAAAGTGTGAAGGCGAACTTGTCCAAGACAGTTTGCGATGGACAAAAAGCAGCTGGCGGTTCAAATATTACCGTGCATGGAGTGCTTCTGCCCGGACAGTAGTTTGACCAGAGCCCAGAAGGCATCCTCCTCGTTCATGTAGATCAGCAGCAGAGCTGTGATCTGACTCATGCCCTGGCAGTAGCCCACCTCCTGCAAAAAACAAACAAAAAATATATATACCACCTCTGACACTTAATTACATACTTGTGGACTTCCAGAGGTTGACTGATGTAGCACATTTATAAAAAAAAAACATGATAAAACTGCTGAAAATCATTGGTTCTGTTTGTAGCCAGCACATTCAGTTAGCTTTCTGTATGTTTAATTTAGGTGATGAATTTATTGTTTTGTATTTTATTATATTTCAATTTGAACGAATGAATTAAATCATTGAGGTAAATAAAACACATCTTCTTTCTACATCATTATTGTGTACTCATATGTAGCCAGAGCAGTTTGTCACACTGATGAAAAAGACCTTTTGGTAAACTTTTATGTTGATTTAAAGTACTTTCTAAAGATCCACATATTTATACACACATTATACACACATTTCCCAAAGAACAACACTTACACTTGTCAGTTGATTTTTGATTGATTGCTCCAGCCTTTTCTGACTTTAAAAAAGGATGAAGAAAAAACAAAAAAGGCAGTGCTGTGCTCACCGTGTTGTACATGGAGTAGGCTGTGAGGACGTGGAAGAGAGCCTGCTGCCTGAAAAAAACAACACACAATCACATCAGACTTTAACCCTTTAAAAGTCGTTTCTCACGGTTTTTGGTTCTGTGCTCTCTGAAAGCTCCAGTGTTTTCCATTTCAAGTACAGGAGAAATTGCTGCATGTCAGGCTTCCAAATATACAGTACATAGAAACTTTGAAAGGTCTAATCTCCTCTTAAAACATACAGATTCAAGCTAAAGACTGAGTGTAGTTGCTTGAAAGGCTTAATTTAGCGTCTATATTTCAAAAAGCTTGTCAATGCCTGCTTACAATAGTAGTGGGTGGACCTCCTGCCAATGAATTTTTAAAAAAAGAATCATATTCATGCAGTGAGCATGCTATTTACAGAGTCTTGTCAATTTTCTGCTACTCTTTCCTTATAATATGTGCAAGAGAAAAGAGGTTATTATAGTTAATTCTGCAGAATAACTCAATCTTGTCAAACTCAAAAAATGTAAAGTGAAGTAGATAAAGGAGTTGCTTCCGAGTTTCTCATAATCTGTCGTTTTTGTGTGCTGAAGTCTGAGGATTATGAGTGTTGTTCCATTTCTAATGCAATTACTAATGGGATCAGTGACAGAATTGGAAACGCTTGACTCGCTCGCTGTGCCAAACATTTGAGGGTGTGCAGCGTGTGCTCACTTGACGTCGTAGCGGTGCATGAACATGATGTGGTCTCTGTAGGTTCTGTTCACATCCAGGTCGATCTGTCGGATGTCGGGGGACAGACCTCTGGCTCTGGCCTTCAGCTTCTGAGCACCACAACACAAAGAGACACCGATCGTGGTTTATAACCCAGTGATACATTTGCTTTTGACACAATCCGTGTGCATTTGCTTGCTCCTTTGCGTATTCATGACCTATTTATATTCGCTAAAGTAACTGGAGGCCAGGTATAAAACCTCACATCCAAATTTAAAAGGTGCAGTTTGAGCTCCCCTGACAGCTAAAAAACAGCTGCATCTTCATTTGTTTAGTAGTTATCGCTTCGACCCCTCTGCTCGGATATTGGACTTATGGGATCAAGTCGAGACGAGAGAAAAGATTTCAATTAGCCTTATAAAGGCATTAAGATGAAAGAAATTAACTTAAATGTGTAATTGGACATGAGAATGTTTAAAAATAAAGAAAGCATAGAGTGGATGACAATAGTTTTACTTTCCTCCATTGTCTTAATGTTAATTGTTTACTTCTGCAACTTCTATTTGACAGTTCTCTGGTGTGTCTTCTAATGGGCAGTTAGTGTCAAAAACAACTCCCTTAGTGGGGGTCACAGAGCTAGAAGGTCTCTGGATCTGTTCCACCAATCCGAAAAGTTTCTTTACATATGGTCTTTTACATGTGTTGTACTGGATGGGTAAGAGAGGTAAAGATCAGGGGAAGAAAACAGCGTTAATTTAAAACAAAGAATGGCGTTTGAATAAGTCCGGAGAGAACACAGGAACTCGTGGTCACTACCTTAAAAACAGCCTGAATAGCACACAGGGTGCATTGTCCACTGAGAAGCTGCTGGCCATTGATCGCAGCTCCACATCTGTCCCATTGGACCAAGACTTAATTGAACAGATCAATTAGCCTAAACAAGCTCATTTACAGCTTTCTTGCTGCACAGTTGGCTATCACAGCAGGAGAACGTTAAAAAACAAAAACATAGACACAAAATCTAGGGTGTCAAATCAAGCTTTGGATTTTCAAATAAATCACTGTGTGAAGACACTGTAAATGGAAAGTCAAAGTCAATTACTAGGACACGTGTCCAATAATTCATTTAAAAATATTGACAGATCCAAGAAGGCAGTAATGTTAAATTAATGCCATGTGCTATCCTATTTGGGGGTTTGTTAGTCCCCAACTTGTTTGCGGCATTACTATTCACATAGAAAGTAACAATTTTGAAGACACACTTCAGCAGAAGAGACACACAACCGCATTTATAAAAGATGAATCATCGACAAAGCAAGCTGAGCATCCCCCCCCCCACATTTTAAGTTCACATTTCTCACATCGCTTGCTTTATGAGCCAAAACTTATCACACCTCCACACACACGCACACACACACACACACACACACACACACACACACACACACAC